CTTACGCTATTGTGCGCACTATTTTGTACTTTATGGCTAAATGCTACATAGACGACAAAATGATATTATGATAAGAGCAATCACATAAATCAGGGCCTCTTGGCTCCACCCTGTCGGCATGCTCTGAAGAACGAACGAGGCAGAACATAAAAGGATCTATCGTGATTCAATGAGGTGTGAATGAGTGGCCCTGTATTCTGCAGCTTTGCAAATACATATTTTTTTCAAACTTTCAGCGGAGGCGTCTTATTAAGGTCGATTGGCGTTGCAAAATCTCGATTATTTATTCACCATACCATGATTGCCAAACCTGACCTGCTCAGCCTATGTGAGGATATTTCGAAGGCTGCCGGTCGGATAAAGCTGCACGTCAGAAAAACTCCCCTGGAATACTCTCCTTGGTTAAGTGACGTTGGCAAGTCGAAGGTCTATATTAAACTGGGTAAGTATAGTAACCAACCTTTACTGTTTATCCACGGTAACGAATTTCGTCTTGACCAATCGGCAATAAACAGTGTTGGAGTTTGATAAATAACAAGATCGTCACTAACTCAAAGGGTTTATATATGACGCGAAAATAGTTTAGTACAAGACGCGTGAATTTTACAGAAGGCAACGTAAGGTGCCCAACATTCACGCGTGAAATGGGATCAGGCCCCTTCACTCCCCTCCCCCCTGACCTTAGCTACCCTCTTCATTCTCCAAGGATTTTGGTATTAAGAGTTCCACACCCAATCGACTCATACCCCGACCGTTCCCCCTTTGATTCATTTTGTTAGTGGTAGTCTATAATAGGGTTGAATATTGAGCGATAGGGATTTGATAATAGGGTTCTACAACTTCATCATGCAGTTACAGATTTGTAGAATTTCTTGTCAAGTGAATTGATCTTTCAGGCATGATTAAACATATTGCAATTGAACGTTGTTGGGTTTCGTTAAAAAACGGTTACCACCAGTCCAGTGCCACTTATAGGTGCTCTTCTTGCCTTCTGTCAAGATTTTATTTATAGGATTTGTACAGCTTTTTGAGTGATCATGGCTGTATGTTTCATCATTGGCAGTTGCTTAATAATTATGAAAAAGGCGGTCAAAACCCCCTGAAAGTGTTTGGAGAAGATAACTTCTCTCTCCTTTGGAGAATTTTATATAGGTCTTGAAAAGGCTTTGTACCCCACCTTTGCAGGGGACCAAAAATGGTCTGCAAAAATTTGCCAGGCTAATTTTTTGCTGGCATGAAACCTCAAATATTACATATTTCTCCAAAGACTAGAGATGAGTGTAGGTATGGTGATATCTTAAATTGTGTGGCAATTCATAACAACCATTCACATCACAGCTTGGAGAAAGCTCAATTACTAGCCCCTGTTTGGAAACGAGCTGACACTCACCCTTCTTCTTCTTGAGAGGATTGAGGACTAGACCCAAAAAAATGGCAGAAATCAAGCCCAAATCTAGGGCTAATATATTTTTAAATATATCATGATTAATTGTGGACTTTTACTAAATTCCATTTTGCATATTTATTCTCTGACACATGCAAATAACCCTGCTTAGCCTTAAATGTTGATTTTGACTTAAGTGTTGTTTGTTCTCCTTTGGGGACAGTAAAATGTTTTTTTTTTGTAAATAACAGTTATCTATTTTCATTAATATAGAGAGTGAACAGATTACAGGATCTTTTAAACTGAGAGGAGCCTTCAACAAACTCCTCACCCTTAAAGAATCAAATGATGAGGTTTTTCTGACTAATGGAGTGATTACAGCTTCTACTGGAAATCATGGAGCAGCCACTGTAAGATGAAGTTTTTCAATATGGTTGATCTTAATATTTAACAAGCCATTGTTATTTGATGGAGCAAACTTGTACCTGTATGAGGAATGACTAGCTTTACTTTAAGAAAGTGGCTTTATGCTTCATGCATGTGGAGAATTTAAAGCTTTGGAAATCATGGGTCAATTAACATACTTAAGCCTTTTAATTTCTATATTTTTTTTTATTTATCTGGTTATATCTATGATAAAATGTCAGTAAGAGTCTGCATGATTAAAGGAGTGAACATTTGTGGCCATTACTTAGATTAAAGTATTTTAAAAGTGGTTGTGAGGTCAAAGATGCCCTTTGAAGTCAGCCCCAGTCCTTTCAAGTAGTTATAGTGGAGCCAAGAATGAAGGTAGTTGGCAGTTGTCCATGTAAATTAACTCTGATATTATGAAGTGGCAAGTTATTCTTTAATTTAAAATGTTTCTTTGTTTGTTTCTTTTTAATTAGGCATATGCATCAAGTAAAGTTGGCACTCCAGTTACTATTTATGTACCAGAGACCACTTCTTATGCCAAGCTGAAAGTAGTGAAACAGTTTGGTGGGTCTGTGAAGTTCCATGGAGAAGACTGTGTTGAAACAGAGGTGACAGCCAGGAATGCTGCTAAGGTTCAACAATATTGCTGCACTCCCTATGTTAATGAAGCTTCTCTCTCTCATTACTAACAATAGAAGCACAAAATGATCTGTGTTTGGCTGACCACAACAGTGTGGGAAGATGGTTGAGAAAGCTGTAATATAAAGATAAGTTTGGTTCTAGCTCGTAGGTAAACAATGTCCAATTGTGTAAAAATCTACCAACAGGATTGCCTTGGATTCAAGGAGAGTAGTAGTATTTCTAACAATTTTGTGCTGCTGAAATCATTTCCAGGGCTGGATGAAAGCAATGCAACTGGTCATTCAGGCTAGCAAAATCCCTCTCTGAGAATAAGCAACTTTTTGTGTTAATTTGCAAATACCCTAATTTTTTTTAACATTAAGAAAACAAGCCAAAGGAAAGAAGCTTGATAATAAGACAAACAGGCTACAAGTTAGTGCTATAGCTGTTAACCCTTTAACTCCCAAGATCTTCTCCACTCTGCCTACTACACATTTCCTTCTAAATAAGTCACAAGAATTTGGTGTTAGATCAAGACTACTAACTTCTACCTGATAAGTTTGAGTATTCTCATTACATGTTGGCTGGATAATGTGTGGATGTTACAAGGAGAAGTTACATGTTAATCTCTTATGGGAGTTAAAAGGTTAAGACAAGTGCGCCGCAAACTCAGTGAGTAGCAACTGCATTTAATGACCAAATGAGGGAATACAAATAATGATGGGAATGCGTGACAAGTAACGCAAGATCTACATATCACAACAAGAGCCCTCATAAAATGTTCCAGGAAATCCCTCCTTGTCCCATTTGTTTGACATTGTATGCTTATCCCTTTAGGAAAGTGGCATGCATTTTGTTTCACCATATAATGACCTTGTAGTTGTTGCTGGGCAAGGAACCATTGGGTAATTATTTATTTTGTTATTTTGTTAGAGGGGAGTACTCTTTTTCGTCGAAGATTACGTTGTGGTCTCCAGGGCTACATAGAGACAGAGGGAGAAACGTAAAGAAAAACAAAATGGTGTTTTTTAGAAATATTTTTCAGATGAATGGCCATGGCCAACACATCGCATAAGCCTCTCTGACATGGCCAGCAAACAGGGATCGCTACGTCAAGGATAGGATCAATTTTTTTTCAGTTTTTAGATGGGATCAGTTTAGTTTTTCGGGATCAAGGATCGAAATTATCCGAAATTTTGGGATCGCGGATCACAAAATATGGATAAAAGCTAGGATCATTATGTATTCCACATACCTCGTTACGACCCTGATAATTACTTTTAAGAGAAATGGAACTTAAACTCACCTCCTCCTTCCATCCAATGAATGTTTTACGATGATTTTTTTTGTGCATCCACCTCAAGTGGAACCTTTTAATGTGACTGTTTTTCTATAAATATTTGCTACTGAAATTTTTAACCTGAATGAAATGCAAACACAAAATGAACTATTGAGTAGTTTTGAGGAATTTAAAGTGAAAGGGCAAATGAAAGCGTCGAGAGCATGAGAGTATAGTGACTTATAAGAAACCCGAAAACAGGCCAAAATTTACATCAAAATCAAAAATGTGACTGGAAAAATGAGAGGTGACATTTTGAGGCCCAAAAGGATTTACGAAAAAACGAGAAAATAAACATTTTTACAGAAACCAAATGTTACAAAAGAGAATTAACAAACCCAGAATCGATACGAAAGATTGTAAGTGAAACTGAAAAACAGATCTCAAAAATCGCCAAGCCAGAAAACGAAGAAGTTGTTACCTCTTCCAGTTAATGTTTTTGTAATTACTTTGCTAAAACGTACAGCAACTTTCTCTGTAATCCACACAGGGTGGAAATCTTCGAAGACTTGGCCGATGTTGATTCAGTATTCGTTGCTGTTGGAGGAGGGGGACTTATAGGAGGGATTGCAGCCTACCTGAAAAGTGTTAAACCCGGAATAAAGGTAAAAGGTCTCAATGAAGAAGGAAAATGAACCTTCTTTTTGAATGTGCATCGGATGATACGTGAATCGCATGCAACTCTCCTGGTAGGGTTTTCAATAGCAGGTGGCTATCGACGTCCCACCGCCGCTTGTAAGAACTCTTACCACCGTCTGTTGAGCCTGCAATCAGGCTCTAGTGTTTGGATTTTGCCTTGCGGCTTTTTTTTCCGGGCACAGACGCCTATCACACCATCGGCCGCCAGTGGAAAAAAGTTATTGAAACCAAAACTTCTGCATTGGATGAAAAAATATGAAAGTGGCGTGAGAATATTTAGCAGAAACTTACCTTCATGTAAAATTGATTGTAAAATTGCCCTGCCACAACAACGTCTGTACAGAAAATACGCAACATGTAAAATCGCAGCGTAGTGCCGCGGTTGCCGCTATAGTTTTCCCGCCAAAATGATCCACCAAAATAACGCTCACTCTCATGCGCGCCCGCGTTTTGTCTTCGTCAACGGTCAAACGACCACGGTTGTGTTTTTTTTTTTTTTTGCGCGCGTATGTTTCCTTGTATGAACACAACAGTCAAACCCTGAGTAAGGCAAGCACGAGGGGATCAATTATGACCGGCTCCATGCCAACAACTGCTGTCTTACAAAATAAACGAAAGAAAATTAAAAAGTTCATAGAAAGGTAGAGAAAACTCGAGACTTTTCGAACAGGAAGCTTATTCAAACACAAATATCTTGTTGATTAACCATTCTGTTTGGAGCTTTATCAAAAAAATTCAACGATTTTTAGACCATGTGACTTACTGGCTTGTGTAGCTTGTGTTTGTAACTCGTGTGAGATAACTTGGTTCTGAAAGCATGAAAATACACCACCTAGTCATTGCATGCGCATTCGTTTGAGCGCTTTGTTGTGTGTGTGTGTCTTGTTGTTGTTCGTTGCTCGGAGCGGGAAAATGTGGGACTGAGAAAGAGATCTAAAATAGCTAAAATAGACTCTGCTCATGCCGACTCAACTGTTGATTTTAATGCAGATGATTGGATGTCAGCCCTCACAGTCTGCGGTGATGTCAGAGTCAGTGAAGGCAGGAAAAATTTTAGATCTTCCATCAGGTGACACGCTGTCTGACGGTACAAGTGGTGGTGTCGAGGAAAACTCAGTGAGTATTAACAAGTAAGGTGATCTTACGTAAATTCTGATGAGGTGTGGCATGAGCGCAGGCTTGTAAAACTCTTTACATGTTGCGTCCGTGTTTAGTTAACTATTTCACTGATGAGGTTCACGTTTTATCCTTTGTTCAAATTTTAATTTCCCTTATTTTTCTGGGTAAGGTCATGAAGGAAATTTTTATACACGCTCGTTATACCCCGGCTTCCTCGGCCGGGGGAATCAGTTTCTTCAATCACGTTGTCTTGCATTGATGTAAATGTCATGAGTACATTTTGTCATGTGTTTTCCTTGCGGAATGAATGTAGCTGAGTGATAAAAGTTTAGAAAAAAGCATACTATTAAGACATGGCTGAAGGTTTAGGTGTGGAACCTAAGCAGCTCGCCTTGACAAGACCTGACAAAGTCGGCCGATTGAAAGAACTCTTACCGTTCTGACGTTAAAAAGATACATAGGCTTTTTTCTTTGTTAAGAGAAAAAGGACAAACACAAACCTTTCGAGGACAATGATTCAGGAATTTCATAGAAGCCGTTGGATTAATTCTAGTTTTTCAAATTTTGCTTTACGCTTTATTTTTGGGACATTTGCTGAAAGAAAGAGAGTTGTGTTTTTTCATTTCCTTCGGGAGGAAAATTATGTGTGTGCTTTCATACATTATAAAGTAGAGTTATATTTCCACATTTTTTTGTTACTGGTGATAAGGTGACGTTTGATCTTTGTAAATATCTTGTCGACGAGTGGATCCTTGTGTCAGAGGAAGAAATTAGTAGAGCAGTTTACCAATTTATGGAAAATCACCATAAAGTGAGTCAGTTACATTTTTTTTATTGCCTACAAATTTTTCAGTTACATTTTTTTCTATGTTTATTAAATCGACAAGCTGCTGCAGCAGGCGGGTGTGGACCACTAGCATGTTTATCAAAGACTATTATTTCCCCCTCCCTGTTCTCCCTTCCCCTTCGCGAGACCTGATTGATTGTTCTATTCCAGGGCAGGAAAAAATGCGATTTATTCATGAGTCACAATGTTGAGGGCTAGTCAGATCGCAAAGGTAACCACTAATTTCGAAAGGTATTAACTTAGTCATCTGTTGGATTGATTTTTAGATCGTAGAAGGTGCGGCTGGTGTTGCCATTGCTGCTTATTTAAAGGACCATAATAGATTCCAAGGACAAAACGTGGTAATAATTTCTTGTGGAGCTAATATAACCATGAAAAAGTTGAAAGAAGTAATTCTTCAATGGGACCAGATATAATCTGAGCTTGAATTTTTATAACCAATGTGTCCTAGATGTAGATGGCACTTTAATTTTGTGTCGCGAAAAGTTACAATGGCTACTTAGAGGTGAAAAGGAACTAAGCAAAGGGCCTGAAGCGCGGGGAAATTCGAGCGTCATCTTTTGGTTTTGTTTCTGATTGGTTAAGAGCGTGGCGCGAGTTTTCTTAACCAATCACAGAGCCAAACAATCCAAGATAACTTTCGACGCTCGTCTGAACACTGCATGGTGGAGAGCCTGAGCCAAGTTCAGCGGATGAAAATTCCATTATGCTCGCATCTCGAGCACACTGCAAACTTCAGTGAATTACTTTTGGCCAAAGAACCACTCAGCAGTATTAAAAGAGATGCCTAGAGAAAAAATTGTTAACCTGCACGTGTGTTTAAAAACCTCATTCGTTGAGAAAAAAAGGGAGACAATAAAATTACATGATTTGTGGAACTAAAATGAGTGAGTTTCTAATTGCAGTTTCTCACTGTTGAGTAGATTGTCCTTGTTTACTAAGGTCCCCTCAAAAACCTACTCTTACACTGAATATGCCCCTCCAGCTAGAAATGAAAACCATTGCTTGATGGTAGGTGAGGCTCTGGAAGAGGTGAGGTAGGCGAGGCTCCTGTTGTATAACAATGTTTTCCAATTCGATAGTAGTAGGAACGTCTTTATGTTTTTCTAGAGTCACTAGGATGTCTCTTTTCAGATCGATCATTTAAAAAACACCAGGTTGTCGCACGGTAGTCTCGTTTGTTTCGAACACATGTATGATCTTGGATACTATGGGAAATGGTTCATTGTCTATCTAATAACTGCATGTGTGATTAATCTATCATAAAAACTTGTCAAATAAAAAGTAAGGTTGTAGACTTCTGCGTGTGGTCACAGACATCTGCATCCCCAAGGAAAAGGAGACGAAGTAAAATTTCAAAGACAAATCAAGTCATTACCAGACCGTTAATTTTAAGGACTCTTGTGTAAATCGTCTTTTTAGTTACAAGCTGAGGTAGCGTTGAATTTTTCACCTTTTTGATACTTTTCAAAGTTTTTTTTGTAACCCAGATAAGAAATTTTTTTTCTTTAGAAGAAATAAAGACTACTACTGCAACAACCCGAACGTACGAAACTGCCTCCATTTTAGCTTCTAGGAAAAAAAACTGGACTGAGATATCTAACCTGAGGTCGAGGCAGGATACGTGCTCTCCTTTACATCGTCTTTTGAAGAGAATTAATACAACCCTTTAACACCTATGAATGATCAAGACAAAATTTCTCCTCAAAGTGATAGTAAATATCAAGCGGACAAGTGATGAGAATAAAGTAAAATATAAATTAGGGTATTATTGGTTGATCTAAAACCAAATTTTCCAAACTAATATCATAAGAACTGTATGACAGACAGTAAAGGGGTCACAGAAGTGAAAGAGTTAAGGGTATGGCAGAACCCATAAGTCTTGTATTCAAATGAAAACAAGATTGTAAGCAGTGGGATCAGGGCATGACTCTCGAAGTTTTAGGAAGTGTCATTCCGTACTCTGCTCCTAGTACTTTTAAAACCCTGAAGAGCATGAGCAAAAATCAACGGTCACGTAAAGGAACACAGAACCTACGAGAAGAAATACTTAGATATAAAAATGAAGAATTAATCCGACTGGTCAAAAGTTTGGTGGTAAAAATCGATAAGCAAGACATGATGTCTTGTGTGTTAAACTTCAACAACTCAAGTCCAAAACTGCTAACCTGTTGGGTGAGATTTACGACTTACAGCAAGGGCTTGATTTTACTAATGAGGAAGTTGAGATGCTAAAAGATACCTTGAGTAATAAACTCGGGTTACCATTTTAGAAAAAAAAACTCGAAGACCTCGAGAACCGATCAAAAAGGAACAACATTGTCATGTGGAACATTCCTGTAGGCGCCGAGAAAGATTCTCTCTGTCAAGACATCGTGAGTAACATACTGAGACAGCACATAAAGTTGGAAAGCAATGCGCGCTCAATCATCGAACAAACATAAGAAGGCAAAGTACAATTGAAAATAATATTTCACTGCTAACGAGTATTTATCACGTTACACAGATAAGCAATATATTCTCCGAAGGGCTGCGTCAGCATTAAAAGATAACTCTCTCTTAGAGGCAAATCGGTACATCTCGGACGACGTAAAGAAGGAAGTGAGAGACGACCGAAAGAAGCTGAGGGACAGGCACTGTTGTACGTAAGTTAAAAGTTAATAAAGACAATTGCTAAAAAAAAAAAAAAAAGGTTAGTGAGCAGTGAACAATGCGTTAAATTTTTAATGCGGAAAAGTATTTTTGGGAACCAATTATTGTTCTCTCGAAGTCTTTCTTTCATTTAAATTGTGTTTAAATTGTGTTTAAATTGGGGCGACAAGACGATGTGCGAATTGCACCTTTCCAATTAAAAGCCATTGTGGGAACTGGTCTTCAATCCGATCATGTCTCCATGCTTAGAGTCTCAAACTGTCATGTGTATAGGTACACTGATAACATAAAAACGCTTGTTTTCACATGTTGTATTCTGTGAGTCTTTGAAACATAGATACTGTTTTTATTTTTTAAAACCATGTTAACGCCGGATTCAGCACGAAATTGGAGTGGACCTCACTTCGAATGAAGTTAGAGCTGACAAATAGTTTTGGTCTTCAGGATCAAATCAGGAGTTTACATGAACCAGTGAAAGGGAGGAAAAAACATAGATTTGAAACTTTACACTAATAAAACAAACGAACAAATTAAATGGGGAATTGTCTTTAGCTCTCCCTTGCGGCTCTGTGAATACTTATTTGTACGAACAACAATAAAAAGCTTTTTTTAGTTACAAATTTATGACTCGAGAAAAGAACCCCATGAGATCGCAAACGGTAGTCTGGTATTAAATTGTCCATGCAGGAACCAGTTCTTGGTAATTTATTGTCGTGCAGAAATAACCCGTTCAACTATTCATTGAGGGGATAAAATCTTGATAAACGTGGCAAAGTATAGTTGTCTTACACTTTGGACAGTGAACGTCCACACTTTTAACAATACAGTTATGGACGATTGACCGTAACCTCAAACAGCCTGAAAAACAACTTAGTGAATACTTTAAACCAAACAACTAATATAAGGTGGGTAAAGTAGCCAAACTTAAATTGACTTCGAAAATGGGAACTAATTCAGGAAATTCCTTTTTAATCCGTATTTCTCTAAATCTTAGGTTAGACAGTAGATAGTTTTAATTTTTAGCAAGGTATTAGGCTCATCCAGCTTTACAAAGCTGTTGTATCAATCTGTGTACAATTCACCAAGATGACTGAGTCGGCGTATTACTGAAATGCGTATTTAAACGTAATTAAATTGCGGACAGCTTTTTATCACTTTGATTTCGAAATTTCCCCCATTTTAACTGTGCTTAACGAACGCATTTAGGTGACGCTTTTCCTTCTATTCCTAGAGAAAGCAGCGATGAAATACTTTCATATCCTCCTCCTGATGATTTCAGGTAAAGAGTTGGGTGTCTTAATGCAAAAAGAAAATGGCTCTAACACAGCAAGTTTCATTGAGCAATGAGGATTCTTTTATTATTTGAGGTTTTTGAAGTGATCTCGTTTAGCTAGCTTCAAGGCTTTTTTAGTTTCGCTTCATTGAAACACCGTATTAACTGAGCTCGTGGTTGCCTGTGGTAATGCCTGGCCATTGATATCCATCAGATGCTTTCCAAAGATAAAGATACTTTATCCACAATAATTGCATCTTGTCAACTACGAAATGAGTGCCGGAGAAACCTTTTTTTTATCAACAATAATCAATAATCATGGATGGAAATACAGAATTATTACGTTTTAAATATTTTAAACTTGTTCATTTAGTTTGTAATTTAGAAATGCATTTGAACTTGAGAGATTTGCCCTTAACTCTTCCAGGTACAATATCTAAGAAAGAAAGACCCAGCAAAGTCCATATCTCAGGACAAGTTTCACCAACCGCAACTAAACAAATCCAGCTAAAAAGGGACTTTCTTTATGGGCAGCAACCCTTGGCCGGCCCACTTCCTGTGTACGTTCCGCCTGTAACGAGATGGAACAGTGAAATTATGCGGCAGGAAAGAGGTGACAACCGCGGATTTGTGGCGCAACGAACAGCAAGGCCTTCTCCTCAATCCATTCCATCTCATCCTGGCGTGAGCTCTAAAGTGACTCAGTTCCACCACAGGGGTGCTAAAAAAACACAACCAAGGGAAACAAATAAACTTGTTTTGCCTGATATTATTAATTCAACAAACGGTAATGAAAGCTGGTATGTTGCATGACTTGTATAATGGTGTGGTCTATAGAGTTTTAATCAGTTCCTTACCACTCGTTTAATTGTACCCTCCTAAATCCTTCGAAGGAAATTGGAGCGGAGAAAAGAGAGGGCACTATATTAAATGAAAACTGACCATAAATTTTCAGTTTTAAATGCGACTTTGTTTAGAATAGAATTGAGACTGAAAAAAATATGGTGAAACCTGGTTTGAGCCGTCACTAACGGAACTCAAGCAAGTGTTTGACTTTATACAGGATGTCCGCTGAAACAGATTTAGGCAATCAGTTGCGCAACAGTGGCTAATCCCCAAATAATACAGAATATGTTATCACCAGCATCGCAAATTTGGTCCTGGATAAATGAAAAAAGCCCTTAATTGAAAAAAAAAATGTTTTGAATGTAAAAAATGTAGTCTTGAGCACTTATCGCTTCAAAGAAATGCTACCATTTTATGTCCATTTTAATGTAGGTTTTATGTAACAATGGGGGTTAATTTTGGCGTGCGCATGTGCTTAATAGAGGAGTTTACTGTTTATAGGTTTATTTTACGCCAAGTATGAGGAAAACAGTTAAGAACTTGTGCCAGTGTTCGCTTTAGACAGTGTGTCTGCTTAATATGGGGTCCACTACAGGTTTAACAGAAAAGTGAATCAAGTAATGAAGACCTTGAGCAAACCACGACGGCGACGGCAACGAGGACATGGAAAAACAAAAGATCTGATTGGCAGAACAATAGCTCAACACGTGCGTTTTAAAAATTTGTACATTTCTTAGTCGTCCTATGCAAAACAACAACGTGAAATCAACACAATTTGCGTCGTCTGCGAACTGAAACCGCGACGGCAAATTATTTTAATTTCCACTTGGAACTCAACGCTTCTTTTATACGTTATGCTGAAGTTGAGGTGTGGCGCCGTATGAGATGGTAGACAGAAAGGCAGAAATTCATTTTTCAATCGAAGTTTTCCTTGGCGTTGCCGTCCTGACTGCTTAAGGTCCCTGATGTGTGATGTGGTCCCTGATGTCGAAAGGGTGAAACCAAATTTTCGTAGGCAGAAAGGCAGAGAGGCCTTTCAAACTTCGCCTTTTTTTCCCTAAAAGTCATTTTTTAACCTTTAGGGGAAAGCCACGAAGGGCAGGCTAATAAT